AATAAATTTACATAGACTTCAATGATAAATGCCCCCACTTCAGAAATTCAGGAAAAATACTCACCACTCTCTGAGATGTTCAAGACGTAGGCCTACATCATAAGTTAAAGCTTATTTCATCATCTTTTATTTTCTGTTCAATTTTCTGGGGAATAACCAATTACTTTTGGGAGAAATTTCCATCCAAAGATGATCACCCCTAAAAGCAGTCCTGAAGCCCATCGCCATTTTGAAAATGGACGCCTCGCTCCATTGCAAACTTTTAGGACCTGATCATCATCCACATTCACAGAAATACGAGCTCGCAGTCCTCTGCATGGCCAACCTTCTTTTTTACAAATCATCAAGTTTGGCCTCTAAAATGCTCTAATACTGAAGGATTTGACCCATTTGCGGGTCAATTGTACCCGGAAAATTGTCTATTTCGACCCTGAGAAGTGTAAGGCTATATACAAGTAGAACCATGATTGCGGTTCAAGCCCGCCACCAGATATGAAAGGCAAAGTTGCATCAGATTGATTGCCTATCATTCTGCATGGAGTGGTTAGAGGAGGCCCATACAAATGCACATGCTATCAACTCGAGCTTTCTACACTGACCAAGCAAAGGAACATCAGTAAACTAGCTTAGTACCGTCAGTATGGCTTTTTGACCTCATTTTTTCTCTCCATTTTTGAATGATTGGGCGTCACTTCCTCTCTTCAATTATCACCATTTGTAACTTGGTCACTAAGTCCTTCTCGGAAGTTTTGATTCGAACTAGAGCGGACTTGGATTAAAACAAGTGGGAGTGCGCAATAAGCTCTGGCCGTCTTACATGGAAGTCTTGTGTAACGATGACCGGAGACTTGTGTGTACAAGCCCGGGCTGTCGTACCACGCGAAAATCACGCTGCGCTAGCCTGTCACCGAAAATTGACTAAAATAAAGCCCCTAAGTTTCCCATGAAATATAGCGTGCTATACAAGTGCGCTTTAATATACCACGTGACTATAACATTACTGCACATATTTGCCTCCAATTACAAAAGTGTAGCGGCCAAACTCAGATAGATTTCTTATTTTTGTTTTGCCAAGTGAGGGCGCTGTCGCGGGAATACGGGTGCTAAGCAAAAAGCAACATGGCTTCAGCTCAATGACGACAGAGTTTGCAACCTGTGGAATTCTTCGCCCAAAGCATTAACTGGCCAAGGTTTATTAAACGGTTGGTTACTCTTAAATAATTTATATCAATGATTCAGTAATTAATGTGATATTTAGTGATATTTTGTAAGCCTAAAATATGTACAAATGTACATGTATTTTCAACGCATGTTATTTTGGATCTTGTTATTAAGCACATGTACAAGTATCATACAGGGTGTACATAAACCCTTCTTGCATTTAGGTCATGGTCGATAAACTCATCTGTCCTTGTACATTGTAGGGGCCTACACACATGTGTACGGGTATTTAGCCTTTAGTTTGGACATTTGTGTGCAAGTATTTAGAGTACATGTACATGTAGGTGATATGTAATTCAGTCAGCTGATTCTGTTAATTAGGTTACACAAACTCGGGATTATTTCTTGTAACACATACACTTTATTTTCCATTTTATTTATTGTAGTCAATCTGTGCCTATACCTGAGCCCACAAGTGTACGACTACCAAAACTGTCAGAAGTCGGACAATAAAATCATCTGGATCTGCGCACAGCATATTTTCGTTAAATCTTTGGGAGATTCATCATTGACGTTTACTACCAGGATGGATAAAGGGGCAGAAGACCTTACCACGCAAGGAGCTACATGTCATGACCATGAGAAAGTTGACATGGACAGTGAAGATACTGCTTTACATGAATCATCGAGGGCAAGAATGCACACAGAAAAGGGACTTGCCTACCAAAAGGACATGAAAGCAAAGCGCGTGTCACAGCTGTTCAGGCAAATAAAGTCGAAAACTGAAAGGCTTGAACTTCTCATGAATGAAAAGCATGACCAAGGTGAAGTACGCGCTGAATATAAGGAATGGATGTCAACTTACGAGGACTTGCTCAAAGAGAACAGCGAGTACTGTACTTTGCTGTCCAAGGAAGAATTACAGGAGTATCTGGACAACAGTTGGGACAGTAGAGATACCTACCTGAAGAACTTCAAGGTGTATTACTCCAACTGGGAAACGGTCCGGTCACAGAAGGAGCAAGATGTCGGAGTTCCACGCCAACGCCATGGCACCACCGACAGCGAAAACCTGACAAGCATATCACGCATCAGTGGAAGGGGCTCAAGAGCTTCCATTGCCAGCGCTGTATCATCGGCACGACTCAAGGCGGAGCAGGAGAAAGCGGCTTTGGAGGCAAGAATGAAGGCACTCAAGAGGAGACGAGAGATAGAGATGGCCAAGTTGAAATTGAGGTTGGAAGAAGAGGAGCTGAATTTGACCACAGAACTGGACATTGTTCATGCCAAGGAAAAAGTTTTGGACAGTTTTGAATTACAATCAAATGCTGTTTCAATTAGAGATTCAAATTCAGTTAAGCAGTTGAATAATGAAACTGTGTCCATTGTAGCACAACCCAATAACCAGTCACACTTGGTAGACCAGACAAATAGTGGTCAATCTGCACTAAATGTGAATGCTCATAGTTTTACACCAGAAAGTCATAACCAAAGTAGTAGTGTACAAGTACATGGTAAACAAAGTTGTAATAGTTCATCATGCCATAGTGTATCAGTGCCATTGCATGTCAATAATGACCATTCTGTTTCAGCTCAAGGTGACAAGCACTGTGACAGCAACCGAAGTGAAACTGGCATGTCAGGTGACAACGCTCTTCTTGCAGTTGTCAGACAACTAAAAAGGCCTACTCCTGAGATCAAGCGGTTTAGTGGGGAACCAGTCGACTACCGGAAATTCATCCGGCAGTTCAACACTAAAGTGGCAGTACATACTGATAATGACGATGAGCGAATGAGCTACTTGGAGCAGTTCACTACTGGAGAGGCATATAAAGTTGTCTCAGGTTTCAGCCATCTTCCTGCTGAGCAAGGAAACCCTGCAGCTCTAAAAGAATTGGCATCTAGATATGGAGACGTGCATCTCATGGCCCACTCCTTCATCAAGAACACTCGATTGGCCATGTGTTCGTCCGGACAACCCGAAGGCACTTGATGACATCTCAATTCTGCTGGTTGAGTGTGAAAATGCTGTAAAATGCATTCAAGCAGTGAAGGTCCTCGAGTACCCCGACAACATGAGGAAGTTGGTGGGTAAACTACCATTCTATCTTCATGACAGGTGGAGAAATGTTGTTCGGCAGACTTCAGACAAAGGCGAGACTGTCCAATTTAGCCAACTGGTTCGATTTGTAAAGATGGAGGCAAAGAAGGTGATGGATCCCATGTACGGCAGAGAGGCACTGAGCCAAGATATAAAAGGCACAGGGGCAAAGGTCGTCACCAAAAACACCAATCGTTCAAGGGGCAGCTTTGCAACCGAGGTTTCAAGTGGCCAATCCGAGCAGACATGGCGTAACAGAGAAGGAGACAACAGGTCGACAGCAGTAAAGTCTGGCAATGAAGTGAAGAACGTGTGCATATATTGCACTCACACAGGCCATCATACTGACAAGTGCAAGCGTCTGTCCAGTTTGCCTCTGTCTGAAAGAACAGAGTTTGCAAAATCCAAAGGTCTATGTTACGGATGTCTCAAGCGTGGTCACCAGAGTAAGGAGTGTCGCCATAGATCCAATTGTGACATTTGCAAACGTCGACATCCAACCTGCCTCCACGATGAGAATAGAGTTCCCAAGCCCGAGTCAAAGCCTAATCCAGATGGCAGCAGTGGGCAGTGTGCAAACTTTGCAAAGCATGCAGGTGGTAATACGAGGGCCGGTCAGCAGGGTCAATGCACCATGGCAATTGTACCGGTTAAAGTCCGGCTGAGAGATGGTATCAAGGCTGTACCAACGTACGCATTCATGGATCCTGGAAGCACCGTTTCCTTCTGTAGTGAGAGTCTAGCCCGGCAGTTGGGAGCAAGTGGTCCATGTAAGTCCATTACATTGGACACCATGGGTGAGCCCTACTCCATAAAGACGTATCTCATCGACGGGCTGAAGGTCAGCGACTTAGACATGACGAACGAGATTGATCTTCCAGTCATGTATACCAAAGACACAATACCAGTTTCCCAGCACCATATTCCAAAGACTGATGACATCTCCAGGTGGGACCATCTTAAAGACATCAGCTTGCCTGAAATAGATGCAGACATTGGACTCCTGATTGGTAACAATGTGGCAGATACCTACACCCCGTTTGATCTGAAAACTGGTCCAGCAGGTAGCCCTCATGCTGCAAGAACTATGCTTGGTTGGGTGGTTTGGAATGTGATGAGAGACGCTGAACAAGTACAGAGTGACATAAGGTGTAGTTTCTCTGTAAACAAGGCTGAGGTCACAGCAATAGCAGAGGTAGATCAGCTCAAGCATCTGGATAGATTAGTTCGAGAGACCATCAACATGGATTTCCCCGAGAGGCTTATTGACGACAAGAAAGAGCATTCTCAAGAAGACATCAGATTCTTGGCGTCGGTGAACAAGTCTATCACTCACAGAGATGGTCACTACTGTATTGGTTTGCCTTTCAAAGCAGAAGATGTAAAGCTACCTGACAACAAGTCAATGGCATTGAAGCGCCTTGATAGTCTGAAACACAAACTACAGAGAAACAGTAAATTCGGCAGTGACTACAAAGAGTTCATGTTCAAGATTATGAGTGAAGGCTACGCCGAAAAGGTCCCACAAGAAGACCTACACCGGGCAGACGGCAAGGTGTGGTATATTCCGCATCATGCAGTTTATCATCCCCGCAAGCCCGATAAGATTAGAGTAGTCTTCGATTGTGCGGCTACGTACCTGGGTTCATCTTTGAACAACGTCTTACTCCAATGACCAGATCTCACAAACAGTCTGATGGGTGTACTCCTGAGATTCCGTCAAGAGGAGATAGCTATAATGGGAGACATAGCCACAATGTTTTTCCAAGTAAGAGTTCCCAGTGAAGACCGTGACTGCCTCCGATTCTTCTGGTGGCCAAATGCCAATCTCAAAGAGCAGCCGGTTGCCTATCGTCTGAAAGTTCACCCATTCGGAGCAGTGTCCTCACCGAGTTGCTCAAGCTTTGCTCTTAAGCAAACTGTTGAGGATAATGTTGGTGACTACGGAGAGGCTTCATGTGACATAGTGAAGAGAAGTTTCTATGTAGACGACTGTCTTGTCTCGGTTGGTACAGAACAAGAAGCTGCTCATTTGATCCAGAGTACCACAGCCCTGTGCAAACAAGGCGGCTTTCATCTGACAAAATGGGTGTCAAATAGCCATCAGGTTCTGCAGACGGTGCCAATAGAGGAACGGGCAAAAGACATCAGAGAGTTGTCGATGGAGAATCAGAACCTTCCCAATGAGCGAGCTCTGGGGGTTTATTGGTTTGTGGAATCGGACAGCTTGGGGTTCAAAGTCAGTTTGCCAAAGCAACCTGCAACACGACGAGGAATACTTTCTATCACGAGTTCAGTTTATGATCCTCTGGGCATCGCAGCTCCTTTCGTGTTGAAGGCCAAAATTCTCCTTCAGAGTCTTTGTCGACGAGACATAGGATGGGATGAAGAGATCCAGGGAGAAGATCTTAGAATCTGGAATCAGTAGCTCAGTGAGGTGAAAGACCTGGATCAGCTAAGGATCAGGAGATGCTACAAGCCTTCAGGGTTTGGGCAGGTTGTAAGCTGTCAGCTTCACATCTTTGCAGATGCTAGTGACGTAGGGTATGGTGTGGCTGCCTATCTCCGGCTTTGTGATGAATCTGGGCGCATCAGCTGTTCGCTTGTTACAGGCAAAGCAAGGGTTGCACCTTTAAAGAAGATGACTATCCCGCGTATGGAGCTGACAGCAGCAACCATCGCAGTTAGACTTGGCAAAGTGCTTACTCAAGAGCTGGACTGTGACATACACGGCACCTACTACTGGACAGACAGTATGACGGTATTGCGGTACCTCGCAAACGAGAGTTGTCGCTTCCAGACCTTTGTTGCAAATCGCATTGCAATAATCAGAGATGCCTCTTGCTTGCAGCAATGGAAGTATGTGAATACCAAATTCAACCCTGCTGATTGCGCAACACGTGGTCAGTCAGTGAAAAGGTTTCTTCAGTGCTCCATGTGGTTTGAGGGTCCAGGCTTCCTGTCTCAGCCAGAAACAGAATGGCCTCAGCAAGATGCAGAAATCACCAAGCTACCAGATAATGATGTTGAGGTGAAGAAGACCGTGCTGATGACAGCAGAGACACCTATCAGTCCGGTTGACAGACTTCTGGAGCACTATTCAGATTGGACCAGGCTGAAACGGGCAGTTGCTTGGATATTGGTTGTGATGAAGCACCTCCAAGAAAGAGTGGCTGCAAGCAAGAAGTTCATACAGGAGCCAGCAAAGCAAGAGTTCGAGCCACTAGAACCCAATGCGTTGCACCGTTCACAGAAGCTCGAATCAGAGCAGAGCAGAGTTAAGCAAACTCTTTCATTAGGTGCCAGAGAAAGTCTTAACCATACTCGACTTACCACAGAGAACCTTGAGGCTGCTGAGAGGGTTTTAGTGTACCATGTCCAGCAGAAACATTGGAAGGACGAAATCAAATTGCTCAACAAGACCGAGGGAAAACCATCCTCGGCAGTCAAGAAGTCTTCTTCATTGAGAAAGCTTGATCCTAAGCTGGTAGATGGACTTCTACGTGTTGGTGGTCGGATTGGTAGAGCAGATCTCGACTTTGAGTCCAAGCACCAGGTACTGATGCCAAGAGACTCACCTGTCTCCAGGCTTATTCTTCAGCATATACACAAGTCAGTTGGACACTTGGGCAAAAATTCCATCCTAGCAGAGCTTCGACGACATTACTGGATAATTGGAGCACCTTCAATCATCAAGGGTATCGTCTCGAGGTGTGTCACTTGCAGGAGATACCAAGCCCCGGCTGAGCAGCAGAAAATGGCCAGCCTGCCACGAGAGCGACTTGCGTTGAATGAACCTCCATTCAGCAAGGTTGGAATGGATTATTTTGGTCCCTTTGAGGTGAAACGTGGTAGAAGTATGGTGAAGAGGTACGGGGTCATATTCACTTGTTTGACTTCGCGAGCTGTCCACTTGGAGTTAGCGCATTCACTTGACACGGATTCATGCATCAATGCAATCCGCAGATTCAGTGCCCGTCGTGGATCAGTAAAGAGCATTCTCTCTGACAATGGAACCAATTTGGTTGGCGCAGAACGGGAGATGCGTGAGCAGATGAGAACCTGGAACCAACAGAAAATCCATGACAACTTGCTACAGAAGGGCATATCTTGGCAATTTAATCCTCCAGCAGGATCACATTTTGGAGGAATATGGGAGCGTTTGATTAGAAGCGTCAGGAAGATCCTCTACTCTCTGATGCGAGAACAGAATGTTCATCTGAGTGATGAAGCTCTCCAAACTTTGTTGTGTGAGGTAGAAGCTATCATGAATGGACGACCACTTACCGAATGCCCTAACAGTCCTAACGACCTAGATGTCCTGACTCCGAATCATCTGCTTCTTCAACGGTCTGGCGAGAGTCTGCCTCCTGGGTTGTTTGACAAGCATGATAAATATCCTGTTAAGCAGTGGCGACAAGTTCAGTATTTCGCAGACCTCTTTTGGAACAGATGGTCGAAGGAGTACCTGCCTATGCTTCAAGAAAGGCAAAAATGGACCCACCCCAAGCGGAATGTGACTGTGGGAGACATTGTGTTGGTGGTTGACTCTTCGCCAAGAAACTCATGGGCGCTTGGCAGAGTACTTGAAGTTGTCAAGGACAAGAACGGATTTGTTAGAAGTGTCAAGTTGAAGACGAAAACTTCTACTTTAGTTCGCCCTGTAACAAAGCTATGTCTTCTAGTTGAAGGCAGTGTTGAGTAGTTGTCAGTATTTACAGACATATTGTTATGCGTTGTATCCACCAAGATTTCAAGTGTTAGTTTAAAGATAATAGTAAAGTTTGACCTTGTTTATTGGTATTATGTAATTGCTTATTGATTAATAACCAATTAGAGGGCCGGTTTGTAGCGGCCAAACTCAGATAGATTTCTTATTTTTGTTTTGCCAAGTGAGGGCGCTGTTGCGGGAATACGGGTGCTAAGCAAAAAGCAACATGGCTTCAGCTCAATGACGACAGAGTTTGCAACCTGTGGAATTCTTCGTCCAAAGCATTAACTGGCCAAGGTTTATTAAACGGTTGGTTACTCTTAAATAATTTATATCAATGATTCAGTAATTAATGTGATATTTAGTGATATTTTGTAAGCCTAAAAGATGTACAAATGTACATGTATTTTCAACGCATGTTATTTTGGATCTTGTTATTGAGCACATGTACAAGTATCATACAGGGTGTACATAAACCCTTCTTGCATTTAGGTCATGGTCGATAAACTCATCTGTCCTTGTACATTGTAGGGGCCTACACACATGTGTACGGGTATTTAGCCTTTAGTTTGGACATTTGTGTGCAAGTATTTAGAGTACATGTACATGTAGGTGATATGTAATTCAGTCAGCTGATTCTGTTAATTAGGTTACACAAACTCGGGATTATTTCTTGTAACACATACACTTTATTTTCCATTTTATTTATTGTAGTCAATCTGTGCCTATACCTGAGCCCACAAGTGTACGACTACCAAAACTGTCAGAAGTCGGACAATAAAATCATCTGGATCTGCGCACAGCATATTTTCGTTAAATCTTTGGCAGATTCAAAAAGTCTCATTAAAAACTGCACGAAATTTACAAACAAGTATTTAATTTATTTTATTGATTTATTTTTTGAAAATTAAACTTTGGTAGTTATATTTTATGGGAAACTTGGGGGGCGTGTTTGGTCAATTCTCTGGGGACAACCGCGGGCTGAACAGAAGTCTGGATGCTTGGTATTTTTTTCTTTCTGTTTTCCATAGCGTTTATTTGCTTTAGAAATGAGTGGGTTGAGGTATGCACCCTTGGTTTGTAGTGAGAGTGACCGAGCAATTATTTTGGGAAGTATTGATGCGTGTGAGCCGTCGACAGCCACATTAAAATGGGGAAGATAGAGTTTTTGGATAGTAATGGTACAGTACTTGAGTACTACAATACTGCCGTTTAATACATCAGATTGCGATTCTATGAACACAAAGTACGTTTTGTCCAACCAGAGTGATCTTTCCAGCTTTCACAGAGTGCCTTTGGCTACTTGAATTGAAACCTGAAGTAATTAAAATCTAAAGTCGCTAGGTTCTCATAATTCACTTACACACGAAATCAGCAGGTAAATACTTACGGTAAGCATTAATTAATATTCATAAATGCCTAAGACAGTTAAGCCATTCACATTGATCCAGAGCCCATCAAAGTGGCCGGTCTTGCTGGTCTCAATCACCTTTCCAGTGTCACATTTTTTATTCCTATGAAATCCAGTGCCTCTTACTGTTTTATTGGTCGAACGTTTACAATCCTCACGTAGGCATGCGCAATGTTACAATTCATGATAGTCCTAAGTTTACAACGCACTCACTAAAGCCAACCTCGCCCTCAGGGTGTCGAGCAGTACGCGCCCATCACTACCTGCTCTCTCACCCTGGAATTGGATCATTTGCATGTGCAAGATTTTTGAACACGTATGCAAATGAGGAATAGTCTGGTGCCTGCATGTGCGTTACATTTGCGTTTGGTTTTGTATGCGGTGTCTGGGGTAAAAAATAATCAATTCGTCGCAGCGCGAGCATGGCGTGAGTTACGAAAACATGATTTTATTTTATTAAACTGTTACCATCTTAAGGAGACAACATGCAGTATCACATTTCATATTAATGTTAGCACATTGGAAAGGAAATGAATATTTTGGAGAAGGCGTGGACGAATGATCGCGAAAACACGTACTGCACGTTGTGAATAACAACACCAAGTACACGATATAAATCCATTGCTAGCCAATTGCGGTGTCGAATCAGGATGCAGGAAGGAAGTTTCCTATCCAGGGCTTACTATTGGAAACAAGGTTGGAAATAAAGTCAGCACTGGGGACAAGGATGCCCTCGGCCAGCATTCCAGACTCCGGCCAGTCTGAAAAATATAGTTTTTAACACTTCCCAAGCACACGTATATTTCCTTAATAATACACACGTAAATGTTAAAACATTTGTACCATTACTATACTCAATATAATATCACCATCTATTGTTGTTATGTACGTGTGAGCAATTGTGAAACGTCATCCAATTAGGACACTAATCTAGAAGCATTTCACTAAATTCTCGAGAACTGTAGATAGGGTGCAGTAACTGTTACAAAATTACAAACAGATTAATACGAGACTTATACTATTTAAAGGCAAAATGAAATTTGTCTAAATATAACTTAACAATTCCTTTGATTCTGAAACGTTTTAAAGCATTTCAAGTGTTTTAACTCTAAAGGAGCTGGGTTATTTTTTCGCTCGTACCCCCGCCCTGCAAACAGGACGCTGGTCAGGGCTGACGTCATTTGAGCTCTCATTGGATAGATTTGCGTGACCTGTGACGTAGAACGCGTCACACAAACTAGCTTCCGGTGCCCATCATGCGTAGCGCGTGCTAGCTGCATGCGAAAGTCAATCTGTATTTCCTTTACAAGATTCTGTGAAGCTCATCAGCCCTTACTAGCGCCATGTTTGCAGGGCGGAGGGGCGGGGGGTACGAGCGAAGGTTGTTTTGACCATTTCACAGCCGGGGGGGGGGGGGCGGATTCCGGCCATTTAGTGACGAAAAAATTTGAAACTGGGTGTAACAACTTAATATTATGAACATACTCAAGAAATTCACTGACTATAGGTTAAAGGATTTTGGAATATCGGCTAATTAACTATTGATATGCACAAATGGTTGCTATGCTTTGTGTTCACTACATATGGGGAAATTCAGTTTGAGAAAAAAAATCGCTGCGCGGTAACCCACGGTCGGAATTTTATGTGTTTGGTATTAAAAGATGCGCAAGACTCGACTGAGGCTTAAAAGTTTAATATGAAAGCTCGGGTCGGGAATTGTTTTTTGCAAGGGTATCGCGGAACAAGTTGAGAGGGGCGGATTCCGCCACGGCCCTTTTAGGGTTAAGTCGCTTTAAAACGTCTGTTGCCGCGATGGTTTGTGCACAAAACACATTAATAATTATATCAGAGAACTACAGAGTCGGTGCAAAAGAAATTGACCAGAATTAATAACGAATTTAAAAAGCAATTAAATTTGATACATCAATAAAGCATGCATTAAACGAGCATGTCGTTCCACTCATTACAATAAATTATACAGAAATCGACCCACGTTATAAGAAGTTATGCTCGTTTTACTAAAATAACCTATTTTTACAGCTGACCATTATTTTTGTAAATGTTTTGAAGGTTTTAGGCTGATTGAGAACCAAAGATTACACACATGAATACGCATACAAATAAAATTGTAACAATTTTAGTCGAGTGTGAAACATAATTGTTCGGTAAGTTTTTGTTTTGGGGGGAACAAATCCAGTCTTTCTCTGAAATGATGATGGTGATTTTTGTCGGTTTTCCTTCACGAGTTTTCATTCATTGATGAAGGTAGGAAAACCGAAATGGTTCATTGTACTTAAACTATACATTTATTCATCAATGCATATCGGTAAACGATCAGTGGTGAGCAACTGAATTTTGTGGTAAATGTATATGAAAATAAAGATAACTTATATGATTATAGTATGCAAATTACGTGAAATGATCACACAGATACTAGTCAATAAATAACCTGTACTGCATTCGTATGTTATTCACTTGGGGCCAGTATTTTTCTTGACCTGGACAACTTGTGTGATACTTTTTGTTTTTAGATTGATTTTGTTGTCCAACGATATCAATGAAAACAATTACCCATGTTCATACTTCCTGTCTGAAAAATGCGTTTACATCTGGCAAATAAAGGGATGATTTTGTTGATCCTCTGAGCAAGATTCACCGATGTTTGATGCGGTGGTGGGATACGCCGAGTCGCAATACATTTCAGAGTAGTCGCCATCTTGGATTATGAACTGGGCTTCATGGTTTCCTACTTCCCGCAAGGAAAGACCTGTAACGTTCAGTTGAAAAGGAGGAAAGCCGATTGAGTAAAGTAGCAACTTGACTTGGATATGTTCCAAGGATTTTGTCACCGGGGTTTCTGACACTTGGTGGCGCTGTGCACAAATTTAGACCAGAGCCGTATATAGAGAGCGTTGGGACAACCTCAGACTGTTGAACCATAATGGCCGTGCAATACATTTCGGAGTGTTTTTAAAGATATAATGTTGTAATTTACAAAACAACTGATGGCCGTTCTGTTGATGTGAGAGTAAAAACACGGAATCCCACTTACCGATAGAACCATGGTCGCTTGTTCCGATATTCACTTGTTTGCCTTCAAATAAAAATATAATAAAAAAAAATGAAAACAGAAATGTCAAAATTCGACATAATTTGGGTTTCTGGGTTTCTCAAATTTACATGAATAATTCAGCGGCGGCGGAACGGGTTTGAAACGGGGGCCGAGGCATCACCAAAAAGGGGCACTTGCTCAGCCTATTTTTTTTTGCACATCCGTGCTGGAAGGTCGACACGTGTTTTTCACCGGACACTTGGCCTCCGTAAAATCAAATAGTGTTCCTGCATTGCATTACGCCTGAGGACAGACAACAAAAGGAGCACAAAGGGGCCATTGATCCTCGAACGAAGGTGCCTATTGTCCTCGAACGCAGGTTTGTGTGCTTAGTCTATGGGAGAGTGTTATATTACAGGGACAAAGGAAAACACAAAGCCAATCCTCGGAAGCATAGCAAAAAACGACTGTGTGTGTGTGGGGGGGGGGGGGGGGGGGGGGGGGCTGGTACCATCTTCAACATAGGGTGCGCTCTTCAAAACTGATGATTATATGCTAACTATGCATTATGTGCCCCTGTGCCCCTTTTCAGGGCGTATTGTGTGGGTTTTGGGGGCTTTGGTTTTATATCTATACCATTATTGGGAAATGGTTACTTCTAAGAAATAGAAAGATACTTTAAGGGCTATTTTTTTATCTCGAAGGGGCACTTTTATGCTCGAGGCGAGGGGCACATTTATGGCCGCAAAAGGGGCACTTGGGAAAATCTGGGGGGGGGGGGCAAATGCCCCTCCCCAGCTCCCCCCCCCCCCCCGGTTCCGCCGCCCCTGGAATAATTCACGCGGAGTCGTCTCCAATAGGGACCGTTCCACACAATGCCTCGTCCGCCATTTGAGTTAAAAGATTTATATGGGCGACTTAAGTAAAAAAATTCTAGTTCAGATATCCTAGACATTTAGAACAAATAAGATTGGGAAAATGGGACGGTGTTTCGTAGGTGACTGTATGTATCACTTAGAACATGACGGATGCCCGTTATTTTTATTTTCCAACGGATACAAATTGGATGGAAAAGTGGGCACTGTGCAATCGCTATACGTAAGGCCATGCCTGGGTTTGTGTCTCTGATCTCTATTATACAGAGTGGATAGTGTTTCTGGATGTGGGTGTGAAGTCACTGGGCGCCATTTTGACACTCCCTTCGGCCACGTAAAAGTGTATGCAAAGTCATAAAATAAATTTAACAATTTGAACAAATATTAATATGAGTAAAATAGCACTTGATGATCCAAAATCGCTTCCAAAACTTTTTTAAATATGTGTTTTTTATATACGGAGCCAGGCGTTGTGGGGCTTTTTAGGGAGCTTCATAATGGCCGCCGCGTGTGTGCGAGGGCGTCACGGTCTTGTGCAGACGCATATGGTCAAAGCGTTATCCAGTCAGTATAATATAGATCAGTGGTTTGTGTGGAACGCCCATAGCGCTATATTTATTTAATATAGCTTCATGGGAACGCCTGACCTCGGCAACGCGTGACCTCAAAATGACGCGCGAAGCCAAAATGAAAACGACGTCGAGTCGAGTTATGCAACCGTCACAGATTCAAAGGTAAATGACGCAGCGCAGCAAAGCTCGCCCGTCGTACGATCCGAGTGCAAACGTGATGCAGAAAGTCGTGGGACCATTGGTTTTTTTTTTCAATGCAAGTGATGGATATTAATTTTCAACTAATTTCTTTTTTTTTAAGCATGGCGGGTCGCGGAATGAAACATAGTTTATAACCAGAAAAACCGGGCACTATCCGAGATTGTCGACGAAACGCATTCGGCAAACTTTGGACATTTTCGGAAACGGGAGGCATTCGTCACGTGCCCTGACATATAGTGTAGCGATTACCCGACTTAAAATTCATCAGAAATAGACTGTATTTTTTTTTTTAACAAGGCATATCTGGGCCTCAACAGCTAGAAACATTATTAATTAATAGAGACTGCTGATGGCTTGTCGCCCAGATAGCGATTCACCTCACTCTTGAAGCTGGCCAGATTCCCGTTAGTGGGTATGTGGACAGGAAGGGAGTTCCATATTCTGGCAGTAGATATGGTAAAATAGGACCTGGTCTGGGAACAAGACTACGTATTCACAGCATATTGATGATTGAGGCTCAACTGCCTTCGTAAATGTTTCAGATACGATTTGCAGTTTGGCATCGTACAATTCTAAATGTAACAACATTCTTAATAATATATATATATATATATCACTAATATAGGAAAAGCCATTTTTAATTAATAGTCCACAGTTTGTCAATCTGAATTATATAAGAAACCGAGTGCTTATAGGCCACTTGATGCTAACTTAAAAATGAATTAGTGAAAAAGTTGTCCGTAAAGCTCTTTATGTGGAATACCTTGATAGATGAACATTGACACCTTGTCGCGTAGACGATACGAATGGGCCGTGCAGGCCACTAGAGCGCCCTCAAGCGGCAAACCGTGGCTGAGATCAATCTCAAGAGTCGAGTGAATGACGCATCTAGAAGCATTCACTGCCTGAATTGTGTAGCCGGCTCCCGCTGCGGCTTCCAAATGCTCAGAACTCATGTTGTTGTGGTTGCTCTCGTGGAGCAAACTCCAGGTGATGACGTCACCGTCGGCCGTGCAGTTAAAACGGATTGCGCTGTCAGTGATACCGTAGTGGGTCATTGTGAAGTTGATGATCCTAGGGCGCCAATCTACACAAAGATAAAACAAGGAAAACACGGAACTCTTAAAGTGCAAACAACACCAACCCACAGCAAACCACAATAACAACAACAACAATAACCACCACAAAAGCAACTGCAGCAGCCACATCAACCAGCACCATAACGATAACAACTACCCCTACCACCACTTCCACCACAGCCACAACCACCACGACCAAAAGCCATAACATCCACAACCACCACAGCAAACTTAACCACAACCACCAAAACGATATAGCAACCACAACAAACCACCACAGCAACAAATGTAACATAAGCAAAAGCAACAGCAACTGACAACAACAGCGATAACAACAGCAACAACAACACAACAACAGCAACATCAACACCAACAGCAAAAGTAACAAACAACAATTAATCACAATCTTTCGCAAGAATGCCATCTTGATTTTGTTTGTCGACAGAAATTGCCCCTAAAATACATTTCTTGATAAAATCTTAGTAAATGCCACAAATGTATCAATAGGGATACGTACCTATAGATCCACACTTGTACAAGTTTGCTATCTGTTGTGAGCCCAGAAGACCGTCAAACACAACCAGATTGCTGTATGCCGCAGAGCCACCGTAGGTGTCAACAGAGTATGTGCCAGCACATGTATTTGACATGCCGATGTAAAGATGAGTGCACCCGTCCGATTGAGTTATAGATTGGTTCTCCGTCACGTCCGCATTGACCGTCTCCCCATTGACGAATAATTGCAAGTCTGTGCCCCGCGTGTCTGACAAGTCCGCCGTGAATGCGAGGTGGAACCACTCGTCAAGCGGTATCTTACTTTTGTCATACCTACGATGGACCCTAAATTGTTCGGACTTTGCCGTGAACAAGAATCTCTGAGTGTTGGTATCTTCTTTATACGCGAAAGCTATTCCTCTGGCCTGACCAGTCTGTCCCCCAGAGCTCAAGTAATACCAGCTGTCTTTGTTCACAGACACCGGCGTGTCGATTTTCAACCAAATGGACCAGGTCACACTTTCAGACTCACACAGTCCAGGGTCTGAGACACAACTCCCTGCAAAGTCTCCGAGATCTAAGAAGGACCCAAGTGGTGCGTGCACTGCGCATGGCTGTTCCACTAGTCCTGGGCCGGGAACCATTTGAGCAGTCCCCACCACTTGATAAACCTCGCTATCCACCACTTGGTTATTCTCGCACGGAGTGACGTCACTCGTTTGGCCGAAGGGTAGGTCCAGAATTGGTTCCAAGTCTGAAACTGAAATATAAACCCGAGTAAAACGGGATGGGCTTAGAGTTGGCAAGAATTGTGTCCCAGGCAAAACTTCATTTACTGTTTCATCCTAAAAGTAATTAAGGGACCCATGTATACGCGGACGCTAGATCATCCTGTAAAACAGTCTTTGGTTGGGCTGTTGGCCGCAATCGGTCGATCTGCGCAATCGGTGGATTGCGTTGCGCGATTGGTCGATTCTGTAGGATATCTCGGACTTTACTTATAGTACCTTTGAATCTTCCAGAGCCGCGAATAAGAAAGAAGTTAAGAAGTTAGACTGGTGGCAGCGCGATCGACCGACATCGTCATGATCGACCGATAGGGTCGATAATTTAACAGGGGCGTGTTTCGCGGAGAAAAAAAATAAAGGTCTATTATCCGTTCGATGTACAGAACACTGGGCTCTTAGGCCTTTTGTTTTAACATATTTAACAAATGAATATGAACATTTAAAAAAAAAAAAAAACAGGAACCGATCAGGTCATTATGGCGTCACTTCGGGTTGTGAATACTAATAACATTATCTCACTTCCCACAACGTTTTATGACGATTCATCCAACCCTTATATGTGTATCAAAACATCTCATTTTTAAGGAGTAAAGTTCATAATACAATAACGTTTGTCCAAAAGGGCACGGTTAAAGTGAGCAGAAGTCATTTAATCCTAAGCATACTCAATTAAGCAAGATTCTGCATAGTGCAAGTGAACATTTGGGGTAATGGTAAATATTTTAAATCGTCCGTGACATTTGACCTTATTTTCTGATTATGATTCAGAAACTCTCGTTTAATGTTCACATAGAAGTATACAAATATCAATTATTCAAATTGTTTAAACAGACATTGTTTAAACAGGGAAAATTTTCGATTCAGTTAAAGTATCATCAGATTTGTTTTGTTGACAGTGTTGAGTATTGTTCGTCATGCCGTGGATCCTCTTTTCAACGAAAAACCGACCAGCAGCCTTAGATTTGGGTATGTACCAAGGTTTCCGATCTTTCTTATATCAACATTTTATCTCCTTAGGGCAGTTTAGCACCGGATGAATGCCTACCACCAGCAGGGAACATTAGTATCGCTTGACTTAACGACTTGTTTGGCATGCGTGAATCATTTTTCAGTGGCCTAAATGCACCTTTAGATATTTCAGAAATTCTATATCAAACGTAATATTGTTTTTCGTCAGGTGATGAACCCATGTTTCCTTTCTTTGATCATTGAAATTGATGCACAAACATGAAATAATGAATTTATCGAACTGTGCTTGTACATGTTACATGTATGGGGTTTCCAAAAGGAAGACCCAGCAGGAATTAAACTGTACTGTTTGTGGACTGGCCTCCTGTGGTGTAACTGATTGCCTTAAGGAATTAACCAGATAATGTTACACTGGGATCAGTCAAAGATAAACATCGAAAGCCTGGTATGAAAAGGGCCTAGGGTTTTAAAAGGGAAATTCACCTCATGCATGTCTCAGATTTTACTTTCCAAAGTTTGCATTATCATCAGAAGGTATACTGAAACATCCTAACACAGCAGCCGAGGTTTTTTATTCGGCGAAGCGCGTGCAAGCGTTGACACGACGCACACTCGCGCGCGGAGTTATAATTCGTCAGATCGGTATCGCGTAGCTGCAAAAGTGCAATACTTTTGTGTCTAACTCAAAAAGTACTGAGCAGCTCTCGCTCCAATAACGACCAATCGGTACACAAATGCCTTAGCAATCCAGCCATACTCTTTATTTGGCCCAAAACGGTGATAATGTGTACGAAATTATGCAATTTATGACAAATGATACCGAAAACAGTTGCACTTTTGTACACGTGCAAGTTGTGTTTCACGCTCACATAGCGGCCGTTTTTGGTGCCTTTTTGTTTTTATGCTAATGTAAATTTTACATACTCATGCGCAAAAGTGTCATTATGATTTCAGGCAGAAACCGCAATATAACGGCAACTTCAGCTCCAACAATCGCCAGAATAGCGGAAACTTTTGCTGTGAGTCGTAAATATTCTTTTCTCTGATGATACGTTGTTGTTTCAGTACATAACAGTAAGCCAATGAGTAAAGTCTCACACATATTTCAATAAGCACACTTTGGGTTACAGTTTGAACAGAAAATCCCTGAATAAAATGAAATTTCTTGGGTATGTTCATGATAAGTTGTTCTATGCATGTACCGAGTTGCACAATTGTTTGTCCCCCCCCCCCGGGCTGAGAGATGGTCAAAATAACCCGGCCCTTTTATGGTTAAGTAATATCAGCCACACAAGGCTTTGAGGATGAAAATACTTTTTTCAAATATCCAATTGATGTGCATTTTATATATGAAACGTTTGTAGCCAGAATTTGTAAATTTTACCCAGTCTTCTCTTTAACGTTATTTTTGTTTGATATTCATTTGTCATTTGTACGCAATTTGATTTGAAAATGTCATTCACTCATCGGCTGTCACTCATTATGAGTATGACGTCGGCAACGATTCTTGTGTGAGTTTATCCCAATTCTGTGGGCGCAGGTTCTTCCGCAGAGGCGGCACGTGGGAAGGTGTTCTCCCTGCTGGTTGCAAGTGGCTCGGCGACGACTGCGCTCAAGGGTTTCAATTTCCAGTCTGTTTTCCACTTCCCTTGCAGCGTTGGTGATTCGGCGTCGCCACTCTGAGCGGTTATTGGCAGCAGCTTCCCATGTGGCAGCGTCAATATTGCCGGCTACGAGGTGGCGTTTAATACAGTCTCCATAGCGCAGCTTTGGCCTGCCGACTCCTCTTCTGCCTTCCTTCAGCTCACCGTAGAGCACAGCTTTCGGGAGTCTGATGTCATCCATCCGGATGACATGTCGGGACCACCGCAGTTTGCTTTTTGTCAGCAGTGCTTCAACGCTGGGCATATTGGCACGCCTGCGTATTTCAACGTTAGTGATCTTATCTTTCCAGCTGATGTTCAGCAGTTGTCTTAGATGGGACATCTGCACTCGTTGAAGTCGATGTATGTGTCGTCTGTACAATGTGTACGTCTCGGATGAATAGAGGAGGCAGCTCAGAACAACGGCTCGGTAAACCTTGCATTTGGTGGGGAGTCGGATGCCCGGACGATTCCACATACGTTTTTTGAGTTGTCCGAATGCGGTGGCTGCAGAGCTGACTCTCTTCTCCACTCTTGGTGAGGCCAAGGCTGCTGGCTGCTGTATGGAATGTATCTAGCATGCACTGCAGTTCTGCTTCTGAGTGCGAGAAAATGGCTGAGTAATCAGCGTAAAGGAGCATCCTGGCGCAGACAGTCCTGGTTTTGGTTGCAGCCTTTAGCCGCCTCAGATTGAACAGCTAACCATCACTGCGGGTTTGAGATAAACTCCACCATCCGAGGGACAAAGCTCTAGAACAGCAGCCAAGTAAAGAGCGAAGAGGGAAGGCGCTAGAACGCATCCCTGCTTTACCCCCTGCCTGACTGTGAACTTCTCGGAGTAGGAGCCAGTTAACGACACCTGAAACATCATTTCATTGTGCAGTAGAGAGATGAGCCTGGTGAAACCTGGGGGACAGCCATAGCGTTGTAGAAGAGCCCATTGACAATCTCTATTCACCGTGTCAAAGGCCTTCGAAAAGTCAATGAAGACCATGTACAAGGGCATATTCTGCTTCATGGCCTTCTCTTGCAACTGACGTAAGGTGAATACCATGTCAATAGTTGACCTAGAGCTACGGAATCCACATTGTGATTCAGGTAGGTTGGCATCCAGAATGGGTTGTATCCGCTTAAGGATGACCTTTCCTAGAACTTTTCCTGCTAAAGCAAGCAGGGAAATACCACGGTAATTGCCGCAGTCTTGTCGGTTGCCCTTTTTCTTGTAGACGGGGATGACTATGGCATCTTTGAAGTCCTATGGATCTTCTACTCGGTCCAGATGGCTGACAACACATCAAGGAGCCCTTGCAGCATGTGATCTCCTCCTTCTTGGTAGATTTCGGCGGGGATGCCATCCAATCCAGGAGACTTGTTTCTTGCGAGGCTTTTCACTGCGGTTTTGACTTCATCAAGCCTCAGCTCGTCGTCTGCACTGTGTAGAGTTGGCCGTTGTGGGATCCTCTCAAAGACCGAGTAATCTGCGTTAGAGCTCTTGTTGAGGAGTTGGTTAAAATGGACCTTCCACCTCTCCAAGATTTCAGATCTTTCTGTCAGGAGAGTTGATCCGTCAGTGGCAAGCACTGGGTTAGACTGGGCTCCTTGTGGTCCGTCTTGAGAGCTTGGAAAAAGCCTCGAGTGTCGCCTGCATCTGCAAGAGCCTGCATCTCTTCAGCCTTGACATTCCACCAATTATCTTCCATGCGTCGAAGCTCTCGCTGTAGGCGGGCCTTTGCTTCTTTGAAGGTAGCTTTGGTCTTCAAGCAATGGGGTCTAGAGAGATAGGCTTGCAGGGCTTTACACTTGGAATGGATTAACTCAGTGATGTCACCTTCGCAATCATCGAACCAATCGGCGTCCTTGCGTTTAGGGTGGCCAAGGGCTTTCTCTGCTTCAGTGTACAAGCAGTGTTTGTAGTGCTGCCACTTGGCGTCTGCGTCACTGTCTGGTGTTATGGTAAAGTTCTGGTGAAAGGCAGTCTGTAGACCCGAGCATGAGGATTCGTTGCACAGCTTCTTGATGTCCAGTTTCTTCAGAGGCTTAGGTGCTGTTCGCTTCCTGGGTTTGTGAATTGGGAGCTTCATTCGACATCTGATTGGTGGAGCACTCTGCTCCTCTCATGGCTCTTGTGCGACAGACATCCTTCATGGCACTCTGGCTGACAAAAATATAGTCGAGGAGGTGGCAGTGGCCTGATCTTGGATGTTTCCAGGAGTAGAAGTGCTTGTCCGGGACGTCAAAGAAGGTGTTTGTTATGCTCAAATTGAACTCTTTGCAGAGTAATAGGAGCAGCTCGCCATTAGCGTTGAGGTTGCCACGTCCATGCTTGCCTAGGACTCCATGCCACGTAACCTTGTCACTTCCGACCCTTGCGTTAAAGTCTCCGAGAACAATGATGATATCCGTCCGGGGTACGTTATTGAGCGTTGCCTTGAGTTGTGAATAGAAGACATTGTAACATATAGATTTGGCTATAGTCTTTGGTTTGTTTGACTATACTCTATAGGTTAGGATAGGGTAGCTGTGGCTAAGAGCAGGATGAACAGATGACTACGAAGACTATACAAAGACACACTGGTAATGACTATGAGCTCAGCTATATGGAAAACTGGTTTATTTTCAAGAACTCAATATTCTACCGGTATTGTGTATGTACAGAACTATAACCTCAGACCATACGGCTGCATCAGCTTATGGGTATGGCTGGGTACTACATGTAGAATACGGAAGTTGGAGACAGAAGACAGAGGTTCTGAAGAGTTTTGTATGAAGAAGACTGGCCAGAGCATAGGGCTGAATCAGCTTATGGCTATGCCTCTGGTTTCCCAGGGAGAAGAAGAAGAACTCAATGAAAGTGGGAAAATGTGGACATTTTATACAGTTTCAGAGGGACCACTTGGAGTGAAAATAGGAGATGATGTCATATAAGGAAAACATAACTTATATGACATCATTTCTGAGTAAAGGCAGACTGACCACAGACTGACGTAATGGTCAGTCTGGGGGAGTACCCTTATGAGGTCACTTTCCCCTGTGCAAGGGTCAAATCACAGTCTTGGTATGCTGTGGGTGTATTGCTTGGAAAAGAGTGACGTGAAGACCTTGGGTGTAATGTGGAACACCTGTTGTGAGAATGGTAGTATGTGTGTTCAGGGACAGTCTAAATTTCCGTCTTACAACATGACTGTCTGCTTGAGCGCTGGTTAACGTTGGAGCATATATGCTTATGAGGGTGACATGAGTTGTGTAGGACACTGCAAAACGAAGGATCATCATTCTGTCAGAAACTGGCTTCAGGAGTTCGTCAAGCTGAGAAAGAAGACGGTTGGAGATTGCAAACCCCGTCTCGGACGTGCCTTGAAATCGTGAGCCATGAAAGAACACCAGACCAGAAGAGAGTGTGGGACTTTTCTTTCCTCTCTCCTGTGTCGGAGAACCTTATCTCTGACAAAGCGGCAATATCAATTCTGTAGGCTTCAAGTTCCTTGCAGAGAAAGGTTGTCTTCCTCCGTGGGAGTTTCAGGTTATTGTCAAGTAAAGAGCGCATGTTCCAACATGCGAGTTGAAATTTTCGTTTGTGTTTGTACTTGCACCCACATGAATGGAGACCCGCTGACCGTGCGTTGCCAGCCAGGTTAATAAGGGTGAGCCTTGTTTACCTCACATGTTCTAGAGGCGTCCTCGGATTGAGGCAGGCGGGGCCTCCCTAAGTAGGGCCGCCTCGTCGCCCTGGAAGGAACTTGCAACACTATCACCCTGTTATGTTGCACGACCATCACTCCAGAGCCGCACAAGTGCAAGTTACTTGCTACCAGCTTCCAGCTTCTTGGGCCTGCTGGCACCGCAAGAGGACTTGTCAGTTGAGACTTGTTGCCGGTTGGCCGGCGCAGAAATTTCAAGTAGGATGAGCGTTGAGCGGGTACTCATCCCACTCACTGGATCACTGTCTGGGGGTTCCAGCGGCAGGAGAAGCTCCGGACGGCATGGCCAGGCAGTGATTGCCCCGCAGTGTCAGACTTCGCTGATGAGTCCCACCTGGCCACTACTGAGATGACGTCCCAGATGCCCAGCTGGAGTCCCTGTTGGCCGTTGCTGCAATATTGTTGTAGATGCCCAGCAAGGAGATCCACCACCTGCTGCCGTGGTTTCGCAGTGGCTGACATGGCACCAGGGCGTGTCCACACACCGGTGGGCCTGGACACCATGTCTCTGGGGACCACTGCAACTCCGAGATCCCTTGTAGATTCAGCCTGGGGTCGCAAGACACCAAGTTACCGTGTGTTGCCACGAGGAGGCACTGCAAGAGTCTTGGTGGCGGAAAGGCTATGTACTGGCAGGGGAGATTTACGCACTTGGCTCCCTTTTCGCCCCGAAACGGGGCTAGCCAGCGGCAGCAGCAGAAGGTAGAAAGCGGGGTGTGCAATGCTAACTACGACTACACTTGACGCATCACACACACCCTGTGGTAACCTACACAACAATGAAAATGTCATTACAAGAATATAAATGGTACCGACTTACCCGTGGTGTTCATGGCATGTGTATCTAGCCAAATGAATGACGGTACATCAAATCCAGTCGCGTACTTGAACATGTCATCAGCGAACTTCGAAATGAATAAGATGTCATCAGGGCTTGTTACCGTTGCAAGGGAGCCATTTCGACCGTGATAGTTGAGACGCTGACAGAATGCCTTAGCTTCCGTGTGCGACAAAGGAGAGTAATACCTGTAACATTTGCTTTTGTTCTCCGTCCACTGAAAATTGCACGGCGAACAAGCTGCTTGAGCAAAATCGACAAAATCCGCGGTAAGCACGACCGCCAGCATTACCAAAATTGCCATGTTCAGCGTCCACGAAGTTCTGGCTATGTGATTGGTGATCGCCAGTGCACCCGAAGCAGCATACAGCGTTTAACATAAAACGTGTAGTCAGTATATTTTAACCTTGAGAAGAAAAACCATGACATCATGACCCATGACATCATGACGACGCCACATGACTCATGATGACACATGACGTCAGATGACCCCTAACTACATCATGATGACATTATGATGTCACATGACCCAACGGACGACTTGACACTTCTAGTTGAACGCACGACGGTCAAAGCAAGTTCACATCTTTTAACAATTTCAAATTACAAGACACTTACGGTTTCAACAGGGAGGCGGTCACGTTTATATTGCACATTATATCAAAAACTACAGACTCTGTATTATTCTATCAGTTCCCGTAAATATCCAAAGCAGATCTCTCTTAGTTGATTTTTATATTGATTTTCAGAGATTCAATCTAGAAATCTTTGGTCGCTTGTAATCTGATACTTGTTGACGTCATCATGACGTCAATACCAGAAAGCTGGAGAGCTATGTTAACTGTGCTATTTGAAGTGAAAATCTGGATTATATATCTCGCGGTTGATTTTTCAGCATTTATATAAGGTTTAAAGCAAACCCACGGAAACAGGGGGGGGGGGGTGCTGTGGGTACTGCAGCACCCCCAACTTTTTGGATGGGGAAGCTGGAATATACTAAGACATCCCCTACTCCCGGGCACAAATGTATTCCAGCCAGCAGTGTTCTACTACGATGAAATTGCGCCAGTACGCTCTAATATCTCCTTCTTGCTCTAATAATTTGTTCGTTGTTAGCGTTGCCGCGGCTAAGCGTGGCGCTACGGAGGTCTAGCGCAAACACTTTAAAATATACAGAGGAGGTTTTTCAAATCCTCAGGCAGTGCCTGAAATCGTGGCGCCAGTGGAGTTATGCTGATTGACCCAAAAGCAATAACATCGGCCATGAAAATGCAATAACACCGGCCATGAAAATGGTGGCAAAGTTGTTTATATGCTGCCACGAATTGTATATACTACAATAAGGACGGCATTAGCAACTTGCGCATAGCGTCAGTGGAGTTACGCCATGATGGATGCACACAAGTAATAACATCGGCCATGACAATGGTGGCAAACTTGTTTAAACTAGTCATGCTTTAGCTCCCAATTCCAGTGCATTTTCGTTTTAATTAAAAAGCTATCGATACTTGACAAATTTGTTTATGCTTGCCAGGAATTGTACGCGCTTTTTCTTTCGATCTTTCAATAGGGGAAAATGTGCATAACACCAGCCTTTCCCCTGAAGATTCATGCTACGGTTACACATACAATCGCAACCTAACAGGAATGGGACCAGCTTTCATTTTAACTACCCATGTATTTTCGTTTTAATAAAAAAAGCTATTCATGCTTTACCCTCTGCAAGTTTTTCCTCATAAAACTAGACCGATAAAATATCCTCGACTCGCCCAAAACTTGCAATCTGCCGATCATAAAGATGAATTTGGTCCTTTAGTCTTTTATATTTGCCATTTCCTGTTTCAAACAAATAAATGACTGCAAATATAATTAGAGCTAGCTACATCGTTTGTTGAGTTATAACTATTTTATTGGCCATTGAAGTTGTGAATATTTCATCCGTTTTCATTGGAACCATTTGTTTTAAGTTGAGCAAAAAAACAATCGTTTTAAGTTTTATCAGTTTCAGTATACTTTTGTGTACACTGATGACATCATCAGTTAAGATCCAAACTTAATATTGATTTAGGTCAGACAGAATAAACGTTCGTCATACAGTGAAAATAACTTTTGAAAAAAAGGAAACTATAATGAATATTTACGTGTGTTTTACTAACACTTAACTTCCTGTTCCAATTTGATTTTAAATGAAAGAAAACTGATCATTTACAAATTCTCCCTACAATAACTTCCAGTACGATGACGTCATGATTCTGAAACCTCACATAGTCATTTGAGACTGTGCAAAGGACATTTTGGGGTAATTTGGTAAAACTGTGATAATTAAATTCAAATTTCTTCTATCTTCGACGTCCTTTGAAGTAATGAAGTCATCATGGCATTTTTTGTGCTTGACATTCCTTACTGATTATGTACATAAAATGCTTCCAGTTTCAAGTTAAATTAAATTTTCACTTCTGATGAAACCGGAAATAAAGGCTAAACGCCTAAGTGCCCGAAAATTCAAAATATTGCTCTAGACAATGTCTTATTGATCACATAATAGCGAGAACGGTACTCCACTCCTGTGAAAAATTACAGTTCAAAGTATGTTTTTAAAATGTTTTGTTAAATCCATTGTAATTCAGTTTTTAACTGCGATAATGGATTGAAATAAACCAATATGAATGAATGAATGAATGAATGAATTAAATCTCAATTGTAATTTAAAACCCGATGATGTCATGATGACGTAACCACATTTTTACAGGTTCACACTAGGTTTTATCATCGTCCGACAAACCGTTTGGAAAAAATTTCTACAATTCACCTAACGTTTACCTTGCGGTAGCCCCGGAAGTAAAGTTTGAGCGACTTCACGTACACGACCAAAAAATGTAATCAATTTATTAATGATCTATCTGATTACAAAATAGAAAAACCATTGATTATTTTGTTCAAGGGTTTTAAGTAAAAAAAATTGGTAACGCTTGTAATTTGACAACCGATGACGTCATCTTATGACGTCAGAGTTATGTGCACCACTTGGGGTCGGGGATGACTTTAAAGGTCTTTTCATTGTAACTTCCGGTCTGGGGACGACATGAATCTTTCTCCCCTCAACTTTTTTTCTGAGCATGAAGCTGACGAAACACATCAATTATAAAGTGATTTAAGCAAACTTTGCCACACACATCAACTGATCATCCATTTTAAGCATTTTCAACCTGCCACAAGAGGGCGCTCTAACATCTTATGACGTCGCCTGTATTTCTTTGGTAAAGTACAACCTAGCCAGAAACTAATGTCGTAGAAAACAAGTGCACTTTTTTTTCCAATTTTAAATTCTTAGGCACTTCCAGTTTGACTGGAAGGAAGGATCACGTACCTTGGCTCATACCAGACAAAATAAAGATCCTAGATACATGTATCAATTTCCGCAAACGACAAGTTCCGATATTTCATGGTTGATTTTACATTGATTTTCAAAGATTGAATCTAGAAATTCTTAACGTGACGTCACGTGACCCATGATAACGTCATTATGACGTCACTCTTCGGGACACATCTTTGCTATAGGGACTATGACTATGGTAACTTTGAAAGATGTATAATAAAGATAAACGCCGAAAGTGAAGGGCGGGAAAAAAAGGAACAAAAAGAACAAAGAAGAAAAAAATCAAAGCAAAAAGAAAGACTTTTTCGCAAATATGCGGAAAAGCCAAAAATCATAACGCAAAGAAAGGCTTTTTCGCAAATTTTCGAAAAAGCCAAGTATTTAGTTGGACTGCTACGTTTTCTAGGGAAAATAACATTGTGTGCTTCGTTAAAGGCCAACTCATTCGCTACACAAATAATGCTGGGTTGATGATTGTTGTAGCATCTAAAATAGTAAGGTCCTGATATTCTGATAAGAAATCACATGTTTTGGGCCCTGATAATGGCAAAATATAAGCGTCGTTTAGGCATATACTGCATTGAATGCCGTCAATCGAAACAAATTTGACATGAACAATGTTAACTTGTAAAAAAATTGCATGCGGTATCAATCATTCATCCAAAGATACAGAATACATGGTAGGCCTACCATGGAAGATGTAAAGATAAATGATAGATAGGTGTCTTAAGGGCCCATGTAACGTATTATGCAATCATTAAAAATACACCTTTGTGTCCAATTTAACAAGTTTTTTAATATGCATTTTGCCCACACCTTTCATTACCACATTGTTTATTGACTTGGCTCTCCCCAGGACCAAATTGTTTGCTCAGTCATGCGGAAATCACTAGAACGTGAAAAAAATTACCACAAGTCGAAAACTCACATTTTCCAACCCAGATTTTCATTGCTAAAGAGTGATTAAAATCATAGGTGTTGTGTGTAAAGTTTGTTCTTTAAACCTTACTCTTTTATGTAAAAATGAAGTCCATATGTGCAAATATAAGAATATTATGCCTTTTTGTCCATCTGGTCCCGTTTATCAAACTACAAGATATCATTACATGACCAAATGGCGCTCCATACCTCAAATTGTGATTGGATACTTCTGAAGCACTTTTCTATTTTTTTTTGGAATGGTAACAATATGAATAAACTGCACCATTAGAACGATCCGAAAACACTCTTTCAGCTGGTATGTGGTTAATGTATGGGCGGCCAAACATATCAACATGCCGCCTTTCTGAAAAGTAGTAAGTATATTTGTGTTTAGGGTGTTCTGTGTGTTGTTTCCTGGTCGACTAGAGTCGCCCATGGGAATCAGCAGGGGGTAGTTCTTGTCGACAAAAGTCGCCAAAATGGTAAGTTAAAGGCCGTTTTGGTGCCTTTTTGTTTTTTATGCTGATGCAAATTTTACATATTCATGCGCAAAAGGGTCATTATGATTTCAGGTAGAAACCGCAATATAACGGCTACTTCAGCCCAACATTCGCCAGAATAGCGGAAACTTTTGCTGTGAGTCGTAAATTGTCTTTTCCCTGGAGATTCGTTGTTGTTTCAGTACATAACAGTAAGCCAATGAGTAAAGTCTCACACATGTTTCAATAAGCACACTTTGGGTTACAGTTTGAACAGAAACCCCCTGAATAAAACAGTGTCTTCTTGATATGACATCACAGCAAGAGCGCCCTCATTTATCAGGAAACCATGGACATTTTTTAATGTGTATAAACAAGTGCATTTTTTAATTAAAAAATTACCAAAAGATATATTTTCCACACATTTCAGAGGAGTAGAAAGTTTGACAAAATAATGTTCCCATGTAAGATCACGTCACCCTTTACAGAAAAAATCAATGAAAATGTATCAGAAATTAATGTAGTTTGCACGGTTTTGCACGGGTTTTTTTCCAGAGTCAAGGTCACAGTTTCATTAACCCTACAGGGGCCGGGGGCGGTATCCACCCCCCCCCCCCGCCCCGGAACTTTCCGCTATAGCCTTGAATTCTTTTTTTTTCGCGACCCGAACTTTTTAGCCTCAAGCCTTGCGCATCTTTTGATACCAAAAACTTAACAATAGGACCACGGGTTGCCGCGCAGCAAAACATTTTCCGGCGCTACGCGCCGTGGAAACTGAATGTCCCCATATACCTATAAGCAGAATTACCGTTCGTGCATATGAATAATTAATTATCCATAATTCCAAAACCCTTTGACCTATAGTAAAGAAATTTCTTGGGTATGTTCATGATAGGTTGTTCACCCCCCCCCCCCCCCCGGGCTGAGAGATGGTCAAAATAACCCGGCCCTTTTAGGGCTAAGTAACATCCGCCACAAAACGCTTTGAGGATGAAAATACTTTTTTTAAATATCCAATTGATGTGCATTTTATATATGAAACGTTTGTATCCAGATTTTGTAATTTTTACCCAGTCTTCTCTTTAACGTTATTTTTGTTTGATATTCATTTGTTACTTGTACGCAATTTGATTTGAAAATGTCATTACAAGACTAAAAATGGTACCGACTTACCCGTGGTGTTCATGGCATGTGTATCTAGCCAAATGAATGACGGTACATCAAATCCAGTCGCGTACTTGAACATGTCATCAGCGAACTTTGAAATGATTAAGATGTCATCAGGGCTTGTAACGGTTGCAAGGGAGCCATTTCGACCGTGATAGTTGAGACGCTGACAGAATGCCTTGGCTTCCATGTGCGACAAAGGATAAGAGTAATACCTGTAACATTTGCCTTTGTTCTCCGTCCACTGAAAATTGCACGGCAAACAAGCTGCTTGACCAAAATCGACAAAATCCGCGATAAGCACGACCGCCAGCATTACCAAAATTGCCATGTTGAGCGTCCACGCAGTTCTGGCTATGTGATTGGTGATCGCACTCGAGGCAGCATACAGCGTTTAACAAAAAACGTGTAGTCAGTATATATTAACCTTGAGAAGAAAACAAACGCATCGATCGGACCCACTGTGAGGCTATGAAACCGAAGCGGGAGATTCCACTGACGAAAATTAGAGGGTCGGATTTTAGAAATTAGTGGCGATTTTTGTATCGAGAAATGATTAAAAGAAAAACATGACTTTATTGTCAACTGATACATGTACGTGTATACAACTGTAGGCAGGGTCGGGTTATGCAATAGGCACAGTCGGCACTGTACCTAGGGCCTACGAGCAATTCGGGGCTGACAAACAACTTAAGGGCCCATGAAAATACCTCATGGACTTGGCCAACGTCTCGAAAATGGCTGCAGTCTATTAATAAAAAATGCCTTAGACACTTGTGATAATAACGCCCACTTAAAAAAGAATAATGGAAACTAGTCCCAACTCTCCACGATGTTTGAGACACACATCAACTTAATGCTCGTTTCATCATCTTTCATGTTCTGTTAAATTTGTTTACGGTACGCCGATGACTCTTAGGAGAAATTTCCATACTAAATGAACACCCCTGAAAGTAATGTTGATGGCCATCGCCATTTTTTTAAAATGCTGTCTATATGCTCAATTGCAAGGTAGACTAAGAGTTTTTTTCGGGGCCCAATTTCATACAAATTTCATAGAAATACAAGCTCGCAGTCCTGTTCACGGTGTCCATCCTACATTTTCCTAGCTCTTTTCTAATTTCAGTGTAGAGTTTAAGTGAAAACAGCGTGTGATATGCTTGTTTTATAGCTAATATAATTTGTTTTCATACTATGTAAAATAGTACTCATGGTATCAGTAATTATGATAAAATATAAGACACAAATGTTTAATTCAGGAAGCGAATTGAAATGGCGATTCTTGACGATTTCAAAAGCGATATTGATTACAAATAAGCCCCATTCGTTTTAAAATGCAATTCTGTGTACTAAGCTAGATATACATGGTGAGTAAAAAAAACAAGGAAACCCAAATGGCAAGACCAATTATTTAATAAAGTTCACTCGTGTACTTTTGCAAGTTACGGAATTTTGAACACAAACACCGTTTTAAGGTTGAGTCCACGGATCACAAAAAAAGGTAAGCGTTCTTTCAGCAAAGCGAAACAATATAGGGATGTACATGAGAGTTTTGAGTGATTCTTGTACTACGAGAATGCTTATTAATTGGGCTTTTTTATCCTATATTTTGCAAATACAACATGCAGAACTTTATTAAGAAAATGAACCTGACATTTAGGTTTGCTTTTTTAATCACCCTGCATAACAAAGTAATACTTTAACTAGAAATGTGTTTGTGGACAAACACAAGCTGTTTCGGATATTTGAAATACTCTCTGCACGTGATGAAAACTTGATGAAGTCACTTTGAATGTCATCTGCCAAGTGAAAAGTCAATCAGACATACAGTGACAAAGTATGATTTGAAGAAAAACGTGTACAAACCCTATGGAGAAAAATGCATCTTAAATGTGAAGTAACCTTACACCTGATGATGTCACGATCACGAATTTCTTCTAGGACCATCTGTAGGTGGTATTCTAAGTGTGTACCAAGTCTGACGTCGATCGGATTTACGAAAGTGCCAAAGTGGAGTGTTTTATAACGTGTACAAACCCTAGGGGGAAAAATACATCTTTAATGTGTATAACCCAACACCAGATGACGTCACGATCACAAATTTCTTCTAGAACCATCTGTGGGTGGTGGTCTAAGTATGTATCAAGTCTGAGGTCGATCGGATTTACGAAGAGGCCAAAGGGGAGTGTTTTAAAACGTGTACAAAACATATGGGGAAAAATGCATCTTTAATGTGACGTAACCTGACACCTGAGGACGTCACGATCACGAATTTTTTCTAGGACCATCTGTAGGTGGTAGTCTAAGTGTGTACCAAGTCTAACGTCGATCGGATTTACGAAAGTGCCAAAGTAGAATGTTTTAAAACGTGTACAAACCCTATGAGGAAAAATGCATCTTTAATGTGACGTAACCCAACACCTGATGACGTCACGATCACAAATTTCTTCTAGGACCATCTGTGGGTGGTAGTTTAAGTGTGTACCAAGTCTGACGTCGATCGGATTTACAAAAGTGCCAAAGTGGAGTGTTTTATAACGTGTACAAACCCTATTGGAAAAAATACATCTTTAATGTGACGTAACCCAACACCAGATGACGTCACGATCACAAATTTCTTCTAGAACCATCTGTGGGTGGTGGTCTAAGTATGTATCAAGTCTGAGGTCGATCGGATTAACGAAGAGGCCAAAGTGGAGTGTTTTAAAACGTGTACAAAACATATGGGGAAAAATGCATCTTTAATGTGACGTAACCCGACACCTGATGACGTCACGGTCACGATTTTCTTCTAGGACCATCTGTGGGTGGTGGTCTAAGTACGTATCAAGTATGAAATCAATCAGATTTGAAAAAGTGGCAAAGTGGACTGGTGGAAGAAACGTGTGTTAAACCTATGGAGAAAAAGGCTGAAAAAGGAGAAAAATAGAAAAGAAAAAAAGAAAAAAAAAATCTTAACGAAAACAAGAGCTGTTTCGGTGTGTCACCGAAACAGCTAATAATGATAATTGTACACTGTATCAGCATAATAGTAGCGCCACGGCACTATCATTGAAGGTCAAACCTATAAAATTGGTTTCGGCATCAGCATGATTTGCCATCTATGGTAGTCGGCCGTTACTCAGTCCCTTCTACGCAAGTGGAGGAGTTGATAACATCGACGCAGTGGTACACGGTCGGGCATGTGACGATAGCACACTCATCGTCATCTGTACCAGGCAAACAAACCGGAATTCATTTTAAAATCATTGCTATTTGGAATGTAATTTAATTTAACGCTGCGGCGTACACATTGTTTTTAAGGTCTGGCAACAGAGCTTCTACAAGTCACTCGGGTGTCGGTCGGTCGGGTCCCCCCCCCCCCCCACAAAAAAATGACCAAAAACGAACCCCCTAACTCACCCATAAAACTGTGAGTACCAAATTGTAACTGTCCCCCAAAAAATGCATTAAATACTTGACAAAAATTGCTTGTAACAATTCGTGACATTGCTTAGATTTTTTTTTGTCAATAGGGGCAAGAAAATGTATGTTAATGGGGCAGTCACGTAGTATATACACACGCCATAAACGTGAGGAGCTAGGGGGCTTCTACACACCCGTCACTATACATCACACCTGCCTCTGGCGTTTTGAAGGTTAACGAGTCTCCATGGCTTGGAGTGAGGATACAGTTTCATTATGAAGGTCACTATAATTTGCAATGTGACTTTCAACAAAATGGGAAATTCTTATTTCAACAATCACCACCATACAAGTTCGTAATTGTATCATTTCATACAAGACTTTCTTGCAATGGGAAATCTTTATTTCATTTGACAATCACGACCTAGTCAGTACATGTGTAATGGTATCATTTCATGAAAGACTTTCATGCAAAACTGCCAAAGCTTATTGTGCAATCGCACTTGTTTTGCGTTGCGTTGCGTTGCGTTGCGTTGCGTTGCGTTGCGTTGCGTTGCGTTGCGTTTTGGTTTTTGCAGTACGTATTACGTCATTCGTTATATTATCCTGAAATGTATGGGTCTAAACAATGGTAAATTGGGCGCGGTTTTTGAGAAAGCCATTTTTTCCCAACACTGGTTGGCCGACCAGCTTAAGAAATTGATACAAAAATAACAGTACACCAGGCGCAATGATATTACAGGATGCTTTAGACTGTCATTTACTAACAGTCCAGATAGGTATTTGATAATAATTTGGTAGTTTTGTTTTTGTCGTTTGCAAATGTTGTATATTTCCTATAAGCAGAGTTAGTGAACAATTGACAGCAAATAGTTTGCCCCTACGTGTACTACAAACTGCAGTAGCGCAACCATGCATGGACAATTCAATATCGACACCAAGTGGGCATGGATAATCAATCATCTTGTCAACGAGACTAGTGAGGAAGCTCACTTAACGGCTGGCTAGTTGTCGTCTGGCACCTTACCTGGAGTCAGTGTGAATAGAATCACTTCCATATTTCTTTGTTTTTTATTGTCCCAGCCACGTGGTAGCCATGCCCAGGTCATCTATCACTAGATCCTAGTATGGACCATGGTACATCCACTAGAGGGGGTGTAAGTCTTGTGATCCTACTGGAGGGGTTGGAAATTGGCGGGAAAACCTAGTGTGCTTGTGCGCATTTACATAGGCCTGTGTACAAATGCATTGTTCACATAGGGAATACCTCGAGCAACCCTGTGACCAAAATGGAACTGTCAAATGGCATTGAGGAGGTTAGTGTCTGGTTTTATTGACTGTTTAGGGCCTGAGGGATACCAGGGGGTGAATGGTGGACTTTGAGGGCCGGGTAGCTCAAATTACATTGTGTCATGGATTTATTCCCAGCAGCCGTCTAAAATCACAGTGCCAAAAATTAGCACGCGAAGGGCAACAACAATTTGATACACAAATATAGCTGTACTAGCTGTAGCCATGCACGAAAAATACCATCAATTATAGGCGAAGATTAACTCCAATCTGATATGCTATTGCTAAAACACTTGTATAACAAAACAGCGTATTTCGATAACTTTTCTGAATGCTTTCCTTTTTGTGATACAACATGACTGGACCAAGCCCCTTCTAATGTGGCTTTAGCGAACCTGGGATTCCCGGGTTCGCATTCATGAGTACCCTACTGGCTTCTCAATCAGTTAACGACCATAAATATGTTCGCACACACGGCGGGAGTGTATGGTTTGC